TAGCTGCAAAGTTGAATTTGCAGGACAGGTAACGGAGCGACACTCTGCGCTCGGCACCGGCGGAGGCCGCCGTTAACCCTTTCTATCGTAGTCGCTGCTGCGAAAGCTCAGATGATTGATCGTGAGAGAGAGGGGGGCTGCTGGTTCTGGAGTCACAGAAATCAGACGTCGCCCTTGCCGGCGGATAATTGGAACCTTCGTTCATCCCCGCGGTCTGCTTTTATAGATCTGTCGGTTTGTGTTTTATTCTGATTCCCGGGAGGCAAATAAGACACAATCTTCACGGAATCAGAACAGTGACAGAAGAATACATTGTGGGGGGAATTTATCAAATCTGGAGCAGACAGGAATATGGAGCAATTGCCCATGGCAACCAATTACTGGCATTACTGAAGTCATATTATTCCTAAAGTGGACCTTTACCCCCTTTCACCAAAAATCACATCAGTATACAGCTCTGCATAGCTATATGAAATCATCTGACATTCATTAGCTAAACAAACATATTTTTATTTTACTTACTATTTCTTTTTTTCCACTTCCTGGTCCTCTTTGACACAAATGATGTAATCTGTGCCCAAGCGTTGCATCCTGGGAAGGTGACATCAGCAGAGCATTGCTGGGAAATCTCATCCGTAAATCTCATGAGATCTCAGGGCAAGGCATTCTCTTCCCCTGAGATGATGTGCATGGTCACATGTCCTAGTCACATGTGCCAGAGTTCTAGGAAGTAAAGGGAGATGGATTAATCTGCCCTTAGTTAAAATGGCCGCTGTGAGAAGACTGGGGAAAAAAAGAGAAATAAGGAATGCAAAGAATAAAAATCCGGCAATTATCTAGAAGTATCTGTTTGTAGATTGTCATCACTAAACATTTCTAAAGGTGTCAGATATGGGTAAAGTTCAGCTTTAGGGGCCCGTTAACACCAATGCGTCCGTTCCGTGCAAGTAATACACGTTATCGCTCAATGCACGTACCGTGAATTACAGTGCGGCAGGTGCATTGACATTCATTTGAATCGCACCCCGGCCAAAATGCTTTGCAACGTAGCCCAACGCATGGTACCGCAATACGATGCAGTGTGGTGGAAAACAAACATAGTGCATGCGTTACTTCTTCTTCCAAGATTTACCATTCAGTGACCATTTTTCTTTTCTTTGGTAGTGATAATCTAGGCAAGACGATCGTGCACGAGATAGAATCCGCCATCATTCAGTGGAGCCACCAGGTCCGCGGAGTGTTAAACAGAGACTCCTCCGAGCAAATTCTACAAGGCCGCAACTCAAATCCCAACGTGGAGCTGGACTTCTGGAAGAGCAGGTACAACCGCCCGGTCTGCAGGACCCCCCACTGGCAAGTACAGATGGGGCGTCCCAACCCTTTAGCTGCCTGAGTGGAGAGGGGGGGGGGAGTGTTGCTGTTGTTTTTTTTTGGCTCTGCAGGGAGGGAGGGGGCTGGGGTTTGGCTTTGGGGGGGTTTGTGCTTCCTCTGCATCATCTCCCTGCCCAGCTCTGGCCGGCATCCCGCCTAGTGATTTCACTGGTTGTCAGGCGCTGGGCAGGATGCCGGCCGGAGCATCACTGGTTACTAACAGCTGGGCCAGGAGATGAGTATGGCCCTTACACATCTCCCCGCCTGGCTCTTAGCAACCTGGGACGCTCTGGCCAGGAAGGGGGCGGCAGGCACAGTGCAAACATTGCACAGGAGAACAGCCATGCCACTTTGCCTGCTGCCCCCACACGTGGCCCAAAGAGATGCTGCCTGAGGCAAGAGCCTCAGGCTGCCTTACAGGCGGTCCTCATAACCTCAAGGGGTCGTCTGCTTATGAAATGTATTTGAGGAACCCAACAAACCCAACCTTACAGATTCCTCATCTGCCATTCACGATGGCTGACAGAAAAATCTACGGATGTCCCCTGTACTCTTTATAAACTATGGTGGTTGAACACATCTCCATTTCATTTCATCATCTCTGTATAGACCGTAGAGCAGGGATAGGCAACCTTGAGCACTCCAACCTTTGTGGAACTAAAAGTCCAAAAAGTAATTGCAAGACACTGGCAGCCATAGGCATGACTGGCAGAGGCATGAACGGGTAGTTCCACCACACCTGAAGTGCCGAATGTTGCCTATCCCTGCTGTGGAGCCTGCCATCTCCAGCCCTCCATCCATTTTTCACTACCATTTATGAGGGCAGTTGACCCATGTACACAATTGCATCAAACATCAATGCATACTCCTGCAGAGGAATAATATTTTGAAGCCATCATTTTAGATCCTCCTGTGCCCTTTTTTTGGTGCTACAGTACCCTCAGCGCTGAAACACAGGGATAAGCGAGAGTTGGGGCTGAACCTGAGCTCCTCTGAACCTGGAAGTGCCATGAGGCCCCATGACCAATCAGCACTGGATGTGGGCATTCCCCACCAAGCAACTGAACATAAATAAAGGAGCGGGATGCCTGTGCTGATGTCATTGACCATATATAGCCACATGGCCATATTAGGTAAATGTCCATGACCAAATATAGCCATGTGGCCATGTAAGGCCAATGATGTCACTGCATACCATCCCTTTGCTTATATGCAGCTTTGGGTAAGAGTTGTGTGAATCTTGGGTGAAAACGTTGTTAATTAGACCCCTATGTGTTTAAGTTTTGATACTCGTTAAAGGTAATGTTGTGTTGCAGATATGCTGACCTGGAGTGTATATACGATCAACTGAAAACCAAGAAAGTGCGCAAAATGGCGGAGCTGCTGGAGAAAATAGAGAGCAGCTATTTCCCAGCATTCAAAGCGTTATTCCGAGACGTCGCAGCAGGTAACCCCTGGATTGCGCTCCTCTTGCCCTCTATACATAGGACTGCCTGTTTTCATTCATTTTTTGCACACTTGAAAAGTGGATTTCAACAATCCAAGATGGAAGGGCTAACATTTCACAAGACTGATCCACTTATAGGTGATTAGTTAGCCCTCAGGTGCAGGGAGCTCATTTATACACTGTAGTGCTGCTCGCAGTGACTGTTAAGGTGCCCATACACCTTACGATTATCGGACGACTTTCGTATGCGATCGACTTTTCGGCCGATAATCGTATGTGTGCATTGCAGTGTCCGACCGACATTACTGTACAATCGTACGACTTTTGACGGTCAAGCATGTTTGAAAACTTTGCTAGATCGTACGATTGTTGTAAGGTTGGTGGCGTTTCCGTCCGTCAAAAGTCGTACGATCTACACTGCGATTGCGCTAACGAAAATAGGCAAATCAATTACCGCATTTCGTCCAGGTGCTTTTCGTTAATTACGGCTAAATTAATCTTGCGATCATCGGGGCAGGATGGGGATGCCGTACGAAAATCGTACGACCATTCGGTCATCGGTCGAAAAGTTTAGTCCGATAATCATAAGGTGTATGTCACACTCTGACATTATACGAATACCCAATGATTGACTCATATAGGCAGAGCCGGATCCTCCACAATGCATCTTAGGCAGGAACCTAGGGGCCTGGTGGATGTCCAGGGGTCCCAGCTATAACCTTTATACTTCTTCAGGGGGAGAGTACACTTGCTCATGACTGTACTATCGCTTCTCAAAGGAGGATAGACTTGTAGGCTTGATGTCTGCCAGTATGGACATTGCAGATGGGGCGGCTTCTCTGTGCCTGTTGTAATCCTTATTAATCTCAATAGAAGGTGGGTGTGTG